GGGGAGGGAGAGGAGGAAAGCTTGATGAAGACTGGATCATGTACTGAAGAGCATTTCCAAATTCAAGTTAGCTTTTCTCCAAAGTTTTACGCCCTCTACTTGCTATACCCGTGCGAATGGCAAATCAAAGCAAAACCAAATCAAAGTCTCTCACAAATGCCAGTGCTTTTAAACATTAAACAACTTTTAAGTTCTTTGGATATGCAGGTCTTACCCACAAAATAACCTTCCTAGAAAAAGACAAATAAATTAAAGGAAAAAACACACTAACATTGCCTTTCTGCTTTCTAAGTGACAAAAGTTCTACTTTGAAACACTCATTTTGGCATGTACAAGTTTTGTTTGTTTGTTTTCTGGGAGGTGGGGGACCTGGCAGTGTTTGTAACACATTGAAGTGCATGCTAAGACAAGTCTGAAGATACACCCTGCAGTCAAGAGAAGCACTCTCCTTCAGTTTATCTCAGCATCAGGAACAAAAAGATTGTAACACAAAGCTTTGGCCATTTTTGAATCTACTATATACAATTTTTTCACTACATAGTCATAAATTAAAGCAGTGATTAAATAAACATATACAAAATGTAATTAAATTAAAAATCACAGCACATTATAGAGAAAAAATAGGAACCCATTTATCACAGCAGAGAATATTTTTTTACCCTGTAAAAAGAACATTGACTAGCAAACACAAAAAGCTTCCTAATTTAAACAAAAGGAATCAAAGCCATATATATATATATATTTTCTCCCTTTCTTGCATTCTTTGCAAACAACAATCTTTACCCAACCTTTGAAATATTTCCAGGAATAAGATCTTCCTTGAGTATAACAGAGCAGTTCTGCCAAAAAAAATGAAGGGAAAGAAAGAAAGAAACCCAAACAATAATAATAATAATAATTAATAATAATAATAAAAATACAAACAAAACAACCTCTACAAAATAAATAAGAGTTATAAAACTTTTTTTAAGTAACCTTAACAATTATCAAACTAGTAAGTTCTGCCTTATCACATAAACTCTCTATACAACATAACCCTAACGATTTATTACTATGAGGTATTTGGAGAAATTGGTAAAAGCAATGCACGGCCTGTCTGCGTGGAGGGACTCAAGCTGCTTTCAAGGGGAAAGAAGAAGGAACCTTTGGTTTGTCAGCAAGAAAGTGGAAAAAAACATTTTCCTTTGGTATCAAAGAAAGTTTCATTGCATGGTTGCACGGCAAAAAGCACCACGGTGAAGAATTATTCCTTTTTTTTTCATTAGTGGCCTTTCTAACAGGCTGAGGTATTCAAAGAGTATAAGGTGAGAGATAAAGAGGTCAACAGCGGTTTAACACTTTGGTTCAAGCAAGGCACTCGTCCTATGAGTTTACAAAGTTTGCAACATGTTTGCCTAGAGCTTTATTATTATTATTATTATTATCATTATCATCAGTATAGCAGTTGAAGTAAGAGTAGTATTCATAAGATTATTATTATTATTATTAAGAATGCAGACAAGTTTACACACTGAGTGAAGGTTGAGGAAGGGGGATGGTGGAAGGTATTTAAGAAGGAGAATGAGTTCCCTTTACAGACCAAGGCCGTGCATGAAAAATCTTTGGTATTCTTTGGTATCATCAATGTGATTAAAATCACCAATGGAAATCCAGTGAGGTAGCGTCTTTGGTTCACACTATAAATAGTAGATCTTTACACACTTTTTTTTTTAAACACATGGAAGTAGCTATTCCTTACCTTTTGCTTCTTTGTCGTTAGGAAATAGTTACCAAATGTATTGTAAAGCTAACCACACCACAATAATAAACCAGAAGGCCAAGCAAAGTCTCAAAATTAGCCTCTGGGCCTTTGAATGCACCCTAAACACAGCTAGATAGAAAAAGGATAAGTGCTTTCTCTTTGTTTGCTAAATGCATAGTTTTCATCCTTATGTACAAAGAAGGAGGAAGAGGAGGAGGATAGGAGAAAGAGAAGGAGGAGGAAGTACCACCTTTCCTGGGAAAAAATACCTTTTTCACAACTCGGGCGAGGAGAAGTGTCCTAGGACTCTTTGGTATAACAAGGTCAGCCATGTTTTCTTGCCCTCCAAGGACAGGTAGTCCCCTTTGGGCAGAATGCCCACTGATGTTGAAGCCTGATTCTGAAGTCCTTCTCAGGGCCTGACCCTGCTCACAATAAGCCGAATGGTGAACCTCCTGAACACTGAGTAGCACATAACTCCAGAAGCAATCCCAATGAATTCAACAGACTACTCATGGAGTAAGATTCCACTCAACATGGGTAAGCATGGTGAAATCTGGTGCATTGAGGTCAACTGGAATTTTGCCATTGACTTCAAAATGAGCAGGACTGAGATGCTAGGCAACAACCCCCATTGTAGGTGTTTTCATTTTACTTTTGCTTTTACCCTGAGTAAGGACAGTAGGATGAGGCCCTTGGACAGCAATATGGGAGCCAAAAAAGTAGCAGTGTTGTTTTTTTCTGGAAATCTGATAATGCAGTTTATGATGTGGATGGATTAAAACTTTCAACCTTTTTGACACCCCCTCTCTTGGGTCATTATGGTAATTTTTGGGTGCACTTCAGGAACTGAGTGCATATTCCTAACCCGCAATAGCTGTTTAACTAAACTTTGACTTTAGTCCAATTTCTTGATGTTTCCAAACTTTTTCCACTTTGCTTCCTTTCAGAACTGTTTCGTGTCATTCTTAGGTCCTGAGCCAGTGGCTCAGTGGTAATTTTTGAGTCTAATACTAACTTCCATTCTTCCAGGAAATCTTTGAGTGAAATCTTGACCCCACTGAAGTCAGTAGCAAGACTCCCATTGACTTCAGTGGGGCCAGGCTTTTATCCTTTGTGTAGAAGTTTAAGCGCAACTTTGGGGGAAAAAATCACCTTCATGGATGACCATTACTAAAGACAAGAAATAATAAGAATCTGGGTGCACCAAATGATCTACTGTCTATGCTTCAGTCAGTGCAATGGAGCAGTATCCTGAGGGATAAAATAACTTTATAATCAGGATGAAGGTTTCCATATTTATTTTGCTTCATATTTAGAAACCAACTAAAGAGAAGTGTGTGTTCTCTGTATATTCTAAGTGTGATTAGCATATTGCTTACAGGAAGGGTGACTTTGTTCTTAATGGCTTATAAAAACAAAAGGTTAAAACATGTTTAAACAGATGTAAGAAAACCACTTTTAGGCTTTAACTTGTGCATCAATTTGTGTGTGTCTGTGTGTGTGTATACATAGCAAGAGATCCTGAAATTGCATATTGGGTGTAAATTCAATGCTGGTATGAAAGTTATCTTTGGTTTCAGCAAATAGTCTCAAGACACATTACAATGGAAATACTAAAAAAATGTGGTAATGTACTTTGAATTTCCCTGCATTTTTAAATTCTCAAGTTTTAAATAAATAAGGCTTTCTTTCTAAACTATAAGTAAGTTACAAAGCAGTGTTTTCCTGGAGAAAGCAAAATGTTAATTATGGTTGTCCTCGTCAATATTATATTAATGATACTGCATTTATAAGATCCCTTAAATGTGAGGTTATGTCTTCCTATTAATTTTTCCACTTCAATTATGTCTAGTTGGGAACAGAGCTTTTTAAAAGAAACCGTGCTAGAATTTAAGGTAAACTAGAGACTCTAATATTCATGGAACACATTTCATTAGACAATTGCATTGTCAGTTTTTTAAAATGAGTTTAACATAGGAAAAATTTTGAGAAATATTTAGTGACAAACATCCTGTTCTCATTTAACATTGTTTTAATAAGGAGATATTTCAGTTGCGTTTTAAAATACCTATTTGTAATTATAACTAGATAGCCTGAAACTTGACCAAACATGGTTAACTTGGGAAACAGATGGTGCTGCAAAGTTGCATAATTTCTTAGTCTTTAGTATTTTATTTGGACTTTATCACAAGAAAATAGAACCTGCCATGATAACATATGTTGGATTCTAGTTTACCTTGATTTTTTTTTTTTAAGCTACAGGTATAAGAAAGATTACAGATTTCTTATCCTAGCAATGGGACATATACCTGCATATTTGCTCACTTTAGAATTTGGTATGCTTAGGAGATTTGCTACAGTAATTTGAAATACCAGTTAGAGATCTAACAGGCACATGTAAAATATTTTCCCCTCTACTCTAGAATTTTATATGCAGATGTTGCACTGCTTTCTTTTTGATTTTATCACAATAAGAATGGAACAATTTCATTTCTCTGAAAGTTCTGTTAGCAACAGAGCACTTAAAGCTTTTCAACTATAAATTGTAAACTATTTCATGCATTTTCCTGGTTAACAGACATGCAAGAAAGAATGTACTGGAATAAAAACTTAACCTAGTAAGCAGGTACAAACCCACAAAACAAAAGGCCATATCCCGCTCTTATAGAGCTCCATAGAAGTTTTGCTATTGACTTCAAGATGTGCCCCCCACCCTAAAAAAAAAGCACAAACGTAATCTTCTTGGAGCTGCTCCCACTGAAGTCAACAGGAGTTTTGCCATAATCTTCAATGGAAAAAGAATTTGGTCCCAAAAGCACATTCCTCCACGTCTCCTTCTACTCCTTTTCTCATTAATGGCCTTTTTATCCATAGACTTCAATGTCAATGGGGCAGAATTGGACGCTGTAAATTTATTCACATTTTTAATTTTGGTGTACAAATTGAATTAAATAGAATGGAATATAATGTTTGGAATCTAGATGATATTGCTGGCTGGGAGATGTACATAAAATACATTAGTAGGGAAAGATGGTCTTTTGACACCCTTCAAGCAGATGACCCTTCAGCAATGTCAGCCAGGAACAGTGTAATAAAAGTATGCCTACATGGCAAATATCACATCAGCCATACACACAGCTGTAAAGCCACATCCTGCTCCTATTGAAGCCAATGGCAAAACCCACTGACTTCAGTGGAAGCAGGATCCCACTATCAGCATCTGTGCTCTGACACTGTGACATGAGCTGCTACTCCTAAAATGACATTCTTTCTTGCCAGTCTTGGAAACAAATATTAAAGTGGTTTAGTAATTGCAAATAACAGTCTTGATTACAGGTTTTATGTGTTATACAGTTAGATTAGTTTATACCTATAACTCTACATAGTATTTTGTGTAAAAATAGCTTTGGAATATTAAAATCATTGCAATAAAATACCTGCAATATAATATTAAATGTATTCTTTGGTAGCTAGTCGATTTTTTTAATGGATGGAATATTATTTCACTTTTTTTTTAAATCTGAACATTCCTTAACAAACAAAGAGAATGCACTGGTTTAGGTATCATTCAAAATTTCTTTGCCTAGTTTGAACTTGTTTCCAGGTGTTGCACTAGCGAAGTTCAAACGATAAAACAGCAAAAATCACACTACCGTTCAATGAATTCAGACGACTCCACGCTATGTTGGTTGTGCTATGGCACAACCCTTTCTGAAGACGAGCCCTGACTAAGTCCCTAACCACTGGTGTGTACACAGTACGGATACACCATACACCTTCATGGCAATATCTGTGGAAATGAAGAGCCATATCTGAAAAGATGTCCATTCAATGACAAGAAATCACTATGCTCCAAACCACTAAACAAGCCAAATACGGTGAAAATGATCATGGATGAAGGTGTAAGACCAGTGGTTTCTTTCGTTTCTCTCTGTTTTTTGTTTTGTTTTGTTTCTTTTTTTTTTTGCAAGTCGTCGTCCTACTAAAGTGTGTGTCTCAGAACAAAGTCAAAATGCAGGTGAAATAAGTCTTTGGTTTCTTTGGACTTATAAATAACTTTTTTTTTTCAAATAGTTCTAAGTATAAACCTGCTATCTTGAGGTCCTGGTCTTTATTTATTTATTTATTTTTAAAGCTTTTCCACCGAGGTTTAGTTCGTGGTTACTCCTTCATGCTTTGGTACAAGTGCTTGATGAAGATGATGAATTGCCTGAATTGGAGCTGCCCTCGTCTTGCCACTTATCCAGACTCCTCCTCCGTGCATTCATGAAAAAGTTGCTGACGGTGCTCAGCTCCAACCCTAGCTGCTGGGAAATGGTGATTTGTAATTCTTTGGATGGACGCTTATTTTCCTTGAATATTGCATGGAGAGTTCGACGCTGGACATCCGTGAAGACCAACCGAGGCTTTTTGGGTGTATTCCCTCTATCTTTCCCATGTTCTTGTTCTTTCCTCTTGCATGCTGCAATAAAACACAGGGTATGTTAGAGTTCGGACTGAGAGAGCATTGGAGAAGATGCTGCTAATGCAGTAAACAAGTTGGAAATAACATTCATTTCATCTTAGATCTTCCAAATTTAGGGATGATGTCTAAGTTTGGGTAAGTCAGATCCTTCTACAGTCAGCCCCTCTTGGACCTACCTATATTCACTTATGTATATATAAGTGAGTTTGTGTTGGTGTAATTTACATGCTGAACAGCTAGATGACAATACAGGAAGGTGTAAGATAGAGGAGGGTATGGCATTCTTTCATGAATTTGTACATTCTTACATCCACCCACCAGCTGATTTTTTTCACGACTCATTTCACTCATCTCTTATGGCCCTTTGGAGTGTGACTTACATTAATTTAAATTCCCAAAGACTCCCTTACACTCAGACTCGGTGGGTCAAATTCAAAGGTGATATGTAAGGTTTGGAGTGAGGTGTAGCTTGCAGGTTGGTCAGTGGATGTGAGTCAAAGTAAGTCTCAGGAAGTCAGAGTCTAATTAAGTTTAATGGACTTTTGAGGGACTCAAAGTTGGTGTACCATACATATTGAGGGACCTAGTATATTATACTAGTTTAGTCTCCCTTAGGTTCATCTCTGAATTCGACCCACAGAATCCCCCTCCAAGTGGGGAAGGGTGTGGCCCTGAGGAAGCCACGTCTAGGGGTAGTCCCCGGCAGTCTGGATCCAGAGCCATGAGGCCAGGGAGCTGAGAGGAAGCTGCTGGAGTATGGAATCAGCACAAAGGCACCTCACAGTTGCCTGACATCCTACAGATCTCTAGGGCTTCATGATGTGTGAGGGTGGCTTCTCCATTCCATGGAGCAAACCTCATCCCCCTGGCAGGACCATAAGAAAGAAACACCAGGAGGAAATCCCCCCACATCCTTGACTTCTCCCAGGGAAGGGGTAATCTGGCCTTTTATTCCCCAATAACATCCTGTGAGGGTCACAGATATGCTTGTAACCATGTTGACCCAGACTTACTGTCCTCTTTTACTTTGTTGTATAGAGAAAACATCTGTGGAGGGAAAGGCACTCTATAATTGTCTGTTAAAATGCTACAATTGAGGCATTTAACCTTTGTAATGCCCAGTAATGCTGGCTGTATAACTATGTATCATCCCTGTAAGATGAAGTGGAAATTTACGGATTTTTCAAGTCAAACTTTTCCACATTTTTGTAATCTTTCTTTTTTTGTTGTCTATCCATTTTCTGTAGCATCTTTTAATTGGCAGTGGAACAAAGAACTGAGAGGAAACAGGGTTGTATTACACTCTTGCAGGCCAGATAATTAGATATTTTGAACAAAATAAATGACCTTGTGACACCCAGAGCAGTGACACAATAAATCTTGGTTACAACATTTCCATGCAATTCCATCTCTCTTTCCATTCATGTTTTTTGGTGTTGTTTTGTTCTGTATTTTTAAAGTGAATATAGCACCTCTGAAAATGCTGTATTGAAAGACCTGGAGATTATCCATTGGACAGAGACAGAAGGGGCGGTGGGAATGCAAGCTTCCCTTTCATTCCCCAGCAATTATGCCTCATTGCTGACCTGGAGGGACCACCTCTAAAGATAAAATTAAAGTTCCTCCTCCATGCCCATTCAGTCCTCATTTCTGCTGAGCTCAGTACCAGCTGTGCTCCTAGTATCCCAGTATGGCCACCCATTCCCTTAGTATTGGATTGAGTGGATCAGATTATTCCACTAAAGCCCCCAGATATCTCGTGTATTGTCACTCACAGCAACCTGTGCATGAGGCAGGGGATAAGGGCATTTCAGTTCTCTCAGCAGTGAAGTTTTTGAAGAAGTTACTTGTCAATATTTATTCCAGTTACAGCATATTTGCTCGGTTATGACACACTAGTTAAATGGACAAAGATTCAAAAATTTATATAGTTGTTTTGAACTAAAAAAACATTTAAAATTCAAACTCCCTGTCCTCTATGACAATATACCATTAATATGTCAAATCTTGTGTTTTTCATTCAAGCAAACCCTCACTGAAGTTATGCTTTGTATATTAATTAATTAATTCCCGGACAAAAGATGGAGTTGAAGTTGAGAATATATATTGATAACCTAAGAGTTTAAATACCCTTGCAAGAATGTTGTATTATCTATTAACAAACAATAAAAAGCAAAGAAATTCACAGTAAAGAATAAACTTTAGCAAAACCTCAACTATTTGAAAGTATGGAAATTCACAGTAAAGGCATCCAAAGAACTTAAACTGCTGCTGTAATGACCCCATTGTCCATCCTTACCTTTGCCCTTGTAGTGATGCCCCGAGGGGAGTCAGAGAAACAAACTTTGAGAGAAAATTAAAAACAATTTCATTTTCTCAGAATGCCCCCTCTCTAATCTGTCAATGGTTGCTCAAATTCTGACCTGTGCACAGATGTACTGTTCACTGATGAAATAATCATTCGTTATAATTTTTCCTGGTTGGACAAATAGCATTAGAATCACAAGACAGACACACAGCAGTAAATACAGAGTTGGTTTATCTGCATATATAAACCTCGTAGTTCTAGGTCACACAAGTATAGGACAGTCCTCCAGAAATATGAAGAATAGCAGAAAATAAACATGCATTGCGAATCTGCCTTGTAAAGCTTGACATCTTCTTGATCTTTGTGGTTCCACCCCATACAAGTTAAGTTTCCTAAATAATTCCCTAGAAAATGGCCCATGATTTGAAAATACCTTGTTCCTGAGGACCTCAGCATCTGCACAAGGCCTGAGGTTCTCAAAACCTATCGCTGCTGAGAACACAGGGATCCAAAAAGTTTAAGGTACTGGGGAGAAAACATAAAATATTAAAATTGTGATTAAAGATCAAATAAACATCTGTCACTTTCCAAATTGTTAGAACATTCTTCTCATGCCCTAGTATAGGCAGCATTTCAATCTGCGAACAAATTAGTTACTCCATTCAAAAGTTGTAAGGGATCTTGGAAGCAGAGCTTAGAACCGAATTCAAAACCCAGCCTTAATTATGGGGCTGCTACCAATGCTTCCAAAATTAATTTAATGGTGTTCAGTTTAATTGAAAGTTCCTCGCCTTGGCTCTACACCTATTAAAATGATAAAAAGTGCCTAATGCAGCACAATATTGTAGATTGAATTAGACTGATCACATAATACACCATCAGACCTGCCAACAAAACCAACAAAATAATAACCCCATATTTTACCAGCCTCTCCCCACAGATCAATCCCCATCCATGTGCCCAGGAAAAATGGTAGGCTTTGCAGAATGGCAGGATGATTGAGAAATCCAGAGTGTGATGGATCAGGAAGGGAACATATTCTAGAGCCAGGGAACTCTCATAGAAATCACGTGACAGATACTTCCTAATTTAAGTTGAGAAAAAAACTCTCTCTGGTGCTTCCACTGAGCTCATCAGAGAAGGCAACATTCAGTTGCAGTCCTCTCAGGAAAGTGATATAAACTTTTCTGACATTCTTACTATTTGATCCTGACATTCTTCCTATTTGAGTAAAGTGTGGTTCTACTCCAAAAAATAAGCCAGTTAAAATGCTCACAGGCTGGATAGTACTTACTGAATGAGCAGCTGTTCGATATCTTGTTTTAGTCTCATTATTCAATGTGTGGCCCCATACTTTATTTACTGCACGCTATTCAAACCCTCTCCGGATATTAAATTATTAATTACCTCATCGGCTTTTCTCTGGAGCTTATCACTATAGTATCCAAGCGCTTCACAAATATTAATTTATTTTCACAATACCCCTGTGAGGTGACGGGGAGGTATTATCCCCCTTTTACAGTTGCAGTACTGAGGCACACAGAGATTAAGGTCAAAAGTGTCCACTAATTTTGGGTGCCCATTTTGAGACATCTAGGACATGATTTTTCAGAGTACTTAGCATTTTTATTGCACTGTCTACGTTCAAAGCACAGCTCCCACGGACCTTAGCTGCAGCTGTGAGTGCTCAGCACTTCTGCAAATCAGAACCCAGGGTCTCAATTCAGGTTCTCAGAAAATGAGAAACACATAATTAGAAATCATCTCTGATGAGTCTGATTTAAGTGACTTGCCCAGAATCACCTAGGAATTCTGTAGCAGAGGCAGTGATAGAATCCAGTTCTCCAGGGCAGCATTCAACTGCCTTGACCATGGACTGTCCTTTCTCTTCCTGCAGTTCCCTGCCTCATTCACTACACACCTTCCAGCGTCTGCAATGAATGAGGCTGGTGTTCAAGAAATAACAGGCTCCTTCACTACACATCCCTGATTAATCCCCAGACCACAGTCCATCCTGTGCACTGACTGAGGCAGGGGTCCTGTGGAAAAAATAGTATATGATCATGTAATTAAGGACTGTATCATAATGTATATGCACAAGGAGGCTGAATTAAGGTTGCAAGGGTAACCCGGTTTCTGACATTTCCTACCTTTTGAGTGCTTGACTTTGCAACATTAATCTTTCTTTAAAATGTAGATTTTTGTGTGTAATTTCCTAGGTTTTTTAAAAAAGCAAAATAAAAACACAAATTGAATCGTGTTGAATTACATTGACTCCTACATGGTTCAGCATCAGAGTTAGAACCTTTAGATCTATAACACAGACCTCTGCTACTTGAGCTAACAGAGTAACTGATAGCAGTAGTAGGTTGTCTCCTCTACGTGGACCTGGACTAGTGAAGAATCAGACACACACTTTGCCAGACTGGTTTCACAGATATCTACTGACAGCAGAGGTATGGTGAGACTCAGAATTTTTGGGTCCAATACCTGTTTCTGGAGGGGAGCATGCTTTAGAGGGCACAAACTCTTCTGCCCCCCTCCCTGAAGTCTGACCCCTCCTGCCCATGTTCCTTCCAGCCTGACCCTGTGCCAGTCCTGTCTCCCCATCCCACCACAACTACTCATCTCAGAAGGGCCAGATTAACCCATCACAGGGCTCTAGGTAAACATACACTTCTAATGTGAG